AACCATACACCCAGTATGGTATCGCGATTCGCGATTTTGCGCTATCATACTGGGTGTATGGTCGGCTGTGTGCGATTTTGCGAGTGTGGTAAAATCGCATAACAACAAAATCGCATAACAGCCGAGCATACACCCAGCAGCGCTGCTGATGCCTGAACGGTATGTGGAATGAAGTGGGCGAGCATCGGGAGGCTACTATGGCACGGGGCAAGCACTATGGGCAGTCTATCTGAAGTGTACCTGGCGTATAAGACGACCCCCCACTTGGAGGCATATTTTTCAGGGCCAAAAAATCGTCTTATACGCCGGCAAATACGGTAAAACAAAGACTTATATTTTTGAAATTTATTTTATATATTTAAATGCCATTTAACAAAGAAAAATCAACCAAAAAATGAGTTTGCGTGTCACCTCTGACACACGTGTCATAGGTTTGCCATCACTGGTCTATGGTGAACCTGCCTAAGAATGAATGCGTCTGGAAATATACCTGAAATAAAATGCCTTGGGAATGAACAAAGTAGAAACATTTGGTATGGACACACACACACTTTTCTGCATTCTTTTCGTCTACTAATACCTATGGAGTATTTGACTCTCATATGGAGTGGATTATTTGCACCTTGACAAACTTCTGAAAAATTACCATAAAGAATTAAGACCTTTTACTTCTTAATCCAAACCTCTGATAAAAACTAAAGCAAAATAAGATGATGAAACAAACAGACCTTGGCCTAGGTTTATAATAGACTTACTTAACCTTCAATGATTATGATAAGATGGGATATTTAGAGAATAAATGTAGGTGGTCAAGCCTTTCATAATTTTGCTTAGGTTCATGTAGTTTTTAATCTATGAATTTGAATCTCTTCTGTTGGTATAGCTATGGTCTTAGTAAGATGTAGACACCTACCTTTTTCCTTTGGAAGTTCACATCAAGTTTCATTGAGGCACACTTGTTCAATGTATTTAATCGTCTAAAAAGAAAGAAAAATGTGATGATTGCTACCACTAATGAACCTAAATTTTCTCTCCAGTTTGTTAATTCTCATTCATTGTCAGTGAAGTTGAAAGTGAAGAAACATCCATTATGTCCCAGGAAGTACCGAACTAGCTGAAACTTTGCTACACAAGAGTCCCATTTGCTCTCCAGCCTCTAGACCTGAGAGGACTCTGCCACAAAGACTATCAATCTCTGCCCTTCCCCCTCCCTAATGTAAACCTGGTCCTTTCCCTGCTTGTCTTTCGGCTGTGCTTGGAACCCATACTCATCTTAGCCATACTTTCACCAGCCCTTCAGTATGTTTGCCACCTTGATCTTTTATCACGCTAGTCCCCAAATTTGGATCAACTCAACTGTCTGTTTTCTCTCTTGCTCTTGGGCTGCTGGATATAAATGAAAAAATAACTCAAACTACAGTGCTAAATTATACATGCTATGGAGTGAATTGTGTCCACCTCAAACACATATGTTGAAGCCCTAACCTCCAGTGTGACTGTTTTTGCAGTAAGAAGTAATTAAAGTTAAATGAGGTCATAGGGTATAACCCCGATCCAGTAAAATTATTGTTCTTATAGGAAGAGACACCAGAGAGCTCTCACTCTCTCACTCACTCTACCATGTAAGGACACAATGAGAAGATGGCTGTCTGTGAGCCAGGAAGAGAGAGTCCTTATCAGGAACCAAACCCTGCTGGTGCCCCCGTTGTAGATTTTCCAGCTTCCAAAACTGTGAGAAAATAAATGTCTACTGTTTAAGACACCCAGTCTGTGGTGTTTTGTTATGGTAACATGTGCTAATACATACATTTATCCTCAGCTGGATTCCCAAAATTGCTACCCAGCATTCTTTGTATTGTTTTCTCTGGTTGGCTCCCAATCTCTGATCATAAAAACGATGCCAGTTTCTCAACAGATGACTTAGCTACCACTGCCAATGAGAAAATACAGCTTAATATAAGCTATTTGACATAAATTCTTCTAATAATCCTTTCTCTCACCATTAAAAAAAAAGATGTTCCTATTTTTTGTTGTTGGTAATACTCACTCACGGATATTTTTCCCATTGATTTTTAGACAGAGTGGAAGAGGGGGAGAGAGAGAGAGAGAGAGAGAGAGAGAGAGAGAGAGAGAGAAAGAGAGAGAGAGAGAGGCGCCTCCCAAGACTGATGCCAGAGATTGAACCTGCAACCCATGTATGTGCCCTTGACCAGGAATCAAACCCATGACCCTTAGGTGTATGGCCAGTGCTCTAACCACTGAGACCACTGGCCAAGCCCCTATTATTTTTCAAAGCTAATCCTTTAACCTTGATTTTGATTTCAACATCTACCACTTCATATGGGACTTTGAAACAATACCTCATTTATTCCCTCTTACCTCAGCAAACTCTTCTCACTGCTTTTCTTCTCTTTAAGCTCATCCCTGTTTTGAGCAAACTGACTAACCAATTTGTTAGCTATGTAAATAACCATCATCAAGGAAACCATCAGTTTTTCATTAATCTTATCTTTCAATCAAGCAGCTATACTAATTACCCCTCCTTATCCTATTCAGTTTCCTGAGAACAGTCTCAATTTTCATTCAGTTCAACCCACTGCAACCTAATTTCATAAAATTCTCTTTACAAATACCTTTATTATCTTGCTTTATTTGGTTACTTTTTTGAAAATCATAGTTATTGAATGCATATGGTTTAAAGAGTTAAACATTAACTTTCATGTCATTTTTCATGTACCACTCTTTGGAGACAACTTTTAAAACTGTTTCAGTGTTTACCTCAACAACATGCTTATATTGTTACTTTTGATTGATTTTTCAGTTTAAGTCATTATCTATTCATTTTTTTTCTATGAAAGAGGAGGATTTATATTATTACTACCTATTCTGCCTGCTCACCTCCCCATACATTCACACCCTTTACTGTATCTCTTTTAACTATAGTTATGTCACAATTTCATAATTGTTGCTAAACCAATACTCAGTGTTTATTATGGCCATGTAAATGCTTTTCATATGTATATCGTACTCTGATTATTTTTTCTTTCATTCTCAACTTTTCACTCTCCCAGGAGGTAATAATCATTTGTTTACTTGTTTTTATAGTTTTCTGTGTGCTTATCCCTAAATTCAAACTCAACTCTCCCCAATTATCTAAATCTCTAAGTGTGTTAAAACATATCAGGTAGTCTATTAATTTAATTTCCCTGGAGACAGCTCTCTCAGAGCCTTCTGACCTGTTCTAGTTTGAATTTGGAGGAGTTTTTTGTTGTTAATGTTGTTTGTTTGTTTTCAGATCATGGACTAATCAAATTTCTCAGAACTCAGATTCTATTTAACTCGTCCAATACTCCGAAGCTGAGTTACAAAAGAGGCCTGGTAATTTCAATATTTAGAATGTAGATAGACTATCACTTAAGCCCTTGTTTTTGAAAGAGATCCCACCTTCAATGATGCCCGATGTCCTCTAGACTAGGGAACTTCTGTTTCAGCCTCTCCAGCGAATAAACATATAACCTTGAAGGCGGGGGAGTAGTCACCCAAATACAGATTTGGTAAATATACCTACTTTAAATAACACTTTTAAACAACCCTTTTATTTTTAGCCTACATTCAATCTCATTTCCCATTTTTGAACATTTTACGACGCTGAAGTACAAACTGATCTATTTTATGACTTCTTTCACTGACCATGTAAATTTTTTTTCTTGGGCTTACTGGTACTCCATTTCATATTTCTGTTTTTCTCCTTTGAAAATTTTATTCTTGTGATCTTTCTGTATTAACAATTGCTTTTGTAAATGAATATCTCCATAAATTAGCGGGAATTTAAAAGCAAGCAAATTCAGATGATCAATCTCCCATCTTTGACAAATGACTTAATTTAGTATTCTTGTTATGAATAGATCTTAAGTTTTCAAGTCAGTAAGTTTTGGCAATTGTAACTATCCTCAAACAAGGTAAGAATATTTGTTTACATCAGAAAATTATCTTGTGCTCCTTTACTGCAAATTCTCACCACCACCACACCCCCTCCCACCATCCCCAGAGTATCCTGTTTCTGATTTCTATTATCCATAGATTTGGTTTTGCCAATTCTTGGTCATCATATAAATGAATTGCACAGCACAGTGTGTTCTATTTGTGTCTGGCTTTTTTTCTCTTCAGTATAATGTTTTTGAGGTTAATCCATGTTGTTCAGTATAATAGCAATCATCCTTTTTAGTTGCTCAGTAGTATGCCATGTTATGAAGATATACAATTGGTTTACCTATTCTCTTGCTGTTGAACATTTGGACCGTTTCTAGTTTTGCCCAATAATTTTTAGTCATGAAATTCCAAAGCTTCTTTTTAGCAGTGGACACTAATTACCATTCACTATCCCTTCAAACTCGCCTCATCTTTGACATTCAAGATGAGAAAATCTTTCCTCTCTCTAAACATCTCTTTCCTGTCACTAAGCAGTACTTGACCCTTAACTTATATATATTTTTAGAATTCATGGTTATGCTAAAATATCTTATCATATCTTTAAATAAATTACACTATTATCATGTTCAATTCTCTTTCTCAGGCTCGCACACCTCACCAGAGTCCCAGTGACATTTCTAGGTACTCACTAATCTCATCCATTAGTGGAGTCTTGCTTGCCCTTCAAACTCAACTACCAAAACTGACCTCTAATTTCTTCAGAACCTGCTTCTCCTTTTTAATGTTTTGTCTTGATTAAAAGTAGGCCACTGAAACAGAAAAACAGAGTAATCTTAAGGTTTTTCTTTTTAAGACCTACATTTATTTTGATCACCAAGTCCTGTCGGTTATACCTCTGGATATTTTTAATATCTTGCTTCTTCTTTGGTCCTAATTCAGTCCCTTATCTTTTAATTGGTTTCACCATTACTTCAAATGCTTCACATTAAAACCTATTTTATTTCTCAACTTTTTATCATGTCATTTAGTTACTTAAAAAATATTCGATGATTCCCCTCATTTTCCACCTTCACTGTCAAATATAATAAGCAACTCTGAATTAAAAGCAGACCATTTAGTCTGGACCTGTCTTCAGCACTTTCTTGACCTTTGCTCCTGTAACTGATAGTCTATCTTTTGGGCAGTTCCATATGTGCCTAACATCTACCCAAGGGTAAGTGTGGTATGTGAAGTAAATTTTGTATATATTTTCATGAGGAAGCTCTGATATATAAGAGCTTAAATTTAAAAAAATGTTGCTCATTTAGCAGCTCTGCAACAAGTTTGTTTAGGAAAGGAATGCCTATTATTTATAAAATTTACCTATCTAACAAACTTGTTCTTCTATTATGCCTTGGAAGCACAAACAAACCATTTTATTCTGTGCAAAAGGTTTTGATGTACTATATATACAAAAGACATCAAAGGGCTTATCCTGTATATAGCATAAGCTTGAATATACTTTATACTTTCTGACACACACAGGAGGTTTATTGTTTATTTATTTATATATTTTTATTGATTTCAGAGAGGAAGGGAGTGGGAGAGATAGAAACATCAATGATGAGAGAGAATCACTGATTGGCTGTCTCCTGCATGCCCCCCACTGGGGATCGAACCTGAAACATGGGCATGGCCTGACTGGGAATCAAACTGTGACCTTCTGGTTCATATGTCCACAGTCAACCACTGAAGCACACTGGCTGGGCAGGAAGTTTATTGTTTTTTAAAGCTAGAGGCTAACTAGATTTTACTACCTAGGGTTGGGTCCTTTTATCACCCCCGAAGTCAGATATTTGCCTGCATCTTAACTTTTCTCCTCTACTTGGAGAAAATATTAGCAAACATATATTGCATAAAGGACTTGTTTTCAGAATATATAAAAAACCCAAATCCACAATATGTTATGCAAGCTGATTTTTTAAATGGGCAAAATATTTAATAGACAGATATGAAAGAAGATATACAAATGACAAATGAAAAAAGATGCTCAACATCATTTGTCATA